GAGAACCTTCTTCGTTTCAGTGCCCCTCTGCTGTACCAAGAATGAGGTCCTTCTCTGGGGACTGGTCTCCTAGCATCATGTCCAAATTACGTGAGATGAAGTCTCACCAATCTTGCCTCTAAGGAGCATTCTTGCTGTACTTCTAATTATTTGGGGAATTCTTTTAAGCACTAGGGATAGGATAAATGTCATAGTCTCATGAACTTACTCTTCTTTTGGGGGGTGGGGTGTGTGGGGTAATGTTCTGATGTGGGAACAAAGAATCCTGAAGTGGTGACAAAAACCGCAAATTAAAAAGTAAATGGCAGGCTAAATAAGGGTTTAGGCAGCACCACAAGTATTACCTGGTGCCAGACTTATATGTTACATCGATCCCCTTTTCTCTTGTATCCCTCGGAAGATGATTAAGTTGGGCACAGTTGGTACACGATGGATTATCCTTCTGGATAGAGATCATCCTGATTTCCACATGTGGTGAAGCCTCAAAGGATGCTCCAATTTAGCATGTAACAAAGGAGGCTTTTTCCCTCATGAGAGTAGACTTAAGGAGTGGAGAAAACAGCCTTGCACTGTAATGCTAGCTCTGCTGATAGTACTGGAGACCTTATGAGAGGTTGGGGTTGTACACCGCTCCTCACAGCGGAGGTTCTGGAGCCATTGCTCCCAAACTAGCTGTAGCTGGTAACTTGGAGGTTCCACCAAGATTTATTCAGTGGACAAGTCCATTTGTTTCTCTATATTTTGTCCTCCTAACCCCCAAGGCTAAATATGTCTTTCCCTTCATGTCCTGAGCTTAAAAATTAAGTAAAAAATTAGAAGAAAGAGTGTTGTTCACCTGTTGATCTCCCTCACTCATTTTCTAGGATTGGACATGCTCATTCCTAGCCAATGAGGGTATGTTTTTCCCTCTAAGATGAGCGAAATTGCTCTTTTCCATGAGTAATAACTGCCAAAAGACACAAAACTCACTCTTTAACTGTTGCAAGAAACCTAAAGAGATGGAAGTAGATGACTATAGAACTACACAGTGCAAAGTTAGTAAACACGTTTTTATTTAGGTTGTCTAGAAACAACGGCTGGGTCATAGTGGGCAAACCCAGCCATCACATTAGCACACTTGTACTGAATCCAAATGTACTGCAGTCAGAGTATAGTCAAAGGGCTCAAAATAATGGTCTCTCAAGATTTAGTATCTCACTGAGCAGTTCTCTCCAGATAATTCTTTCACTAATGACCACATTGGCTCCTTTACTTTTATTTTCCCACCTGTGACATCCCAGAATCTCTCTTCTGTCTTTTTAAATTGATTTTTGGTGTTTGTTTTGTTTTGTTAACCAATCTGTCCTATCCTGTTTATTCTGCCTGGTCCCTGAGTTAGTTAATTATGCCAACCTGGCTAATCACATGTGGGGCTAATTGAAAGGCGAAGGGATAAATGGGTGGTGAGCCACGCCTTTCTAGTTCTCGGGTCTCTTGCTTTGTGATGGTCGCACCAGGGTGCAGCTGCCTTAGCAGTTCCCTGCTTCAGCTTGCAAGATTGACTTCCTACAAGACATCCCCAAGGAGAAGCCACGTGGACCTATCCCGATGCAGCCCTGGGTGCTGGAGCAGCCGTGTGGAGACCCCTGCTAGTGCTGAGATGCTTATTCGTTCACTGACTCAGCTTTCCTCCTGCAGTCGGCATCATTGCCTCTGTTTTGTGAGGTGGAGGACTTTGTGGACTGGTGTTGGGTTAATGGGTTAATGTTGGACTTGTGGGCTTGGGCAGCATTGGGTTGGGATGTTTTTGTGATGCACACTTTCTTTACATAAAACTCTCTTATAAATGAGTTGCTGTGGATTTGTTTCTCCAAAGTACCTAGACTAATACAGTCCTCAAAAACATTATTGTTGTTGTTAGGAGCCAAGTTGGTTTGGACTTCTAGCAACCTTATGTACAACAGAATGAAACACTACCTGGTTCTGCTCCATCCTCACAATTATTCTTATGTTTAAACCCATTGTTGCAGCCACAATGTCAGCTCATCTCACCTTCCTTTTTTTTTCCCACTGTCCCTCTACTTTACCAAGCATGATATCCTTCTTCAGAGATGGGTCTCTCCTGCAACATGTCCAAGCCATGTGAGACAGTCTCATCATTCTTGCCTCTAAGGAGCATTCTGGCTGTACTTTTTCCAAAACCAATTTGTTTGTTCTTTTGGCAATTCATAATCATTCAATATTCATTGCCAGCACCATAATTCAAACACATCAATTCTTCTTCAGCCATCCTTATTCAGTGTCCAAAGTTTACATGCATAGGAGGCAATTGAAAGTGCCATGACTTGGGTCAGGTGCACTTTAGTCCTCAGAGTAACCTCCTTGCTTTTCAAAACTCTAAGGAGCTCTTATGCAGCATTTTTCCCAGTGTAATGTGTCATTTGATCCTCTTCTACCCACTTTTATCTTTTATTTCTTTCCTGTCTTTTTAATTAGCTTTTGATTTCTTTGTGAATGATGTTCTTGATGCCTCCTACAACACATCAGGTCATCTGTCATTAGTCAATACAGCAAATATGCTTCTTAGAGGTTCTCCAAATTTAGGTAGGATAGACTCAGTGTCATATTTTGGCTCTCTTGAACTTGTATTAATTCTCTTCAATTTCAACCTGAACTGACATCAGAGGAATTGATAGTCTGTTCCACAGTCAGCCCTTGACTTAATTTAGCTGCTAATATTGACCTTCTCTATTGTTTATTCTCACAGATGTAGTCAATTTGATTTTTGTGTATTCCATCTGAGAAAGTTCATGTGTATAGTTGTTGTTTGTGTTGTTGGAAAAAGGTATTTGCTATGAATAAGTCTTTGGTCTTACAAAATTTTATCATGGGATTTCCAGCTTAATTTCTATTTGCAAGACCATATTTTCCAACTACTGTTCCTTCCTCTTTGTTTCCAACAATTAACAATAATTATCAATGCATCTTAATTGCATGTTTGATCAATTTCCATCTGAAGACATTGGTAGAATTCTACATTTTCTTCATCACTAGTTTTCATCTTTGGTGCATAAATTTGAATAATAGTTATATTGATTGGATTTCTTTGAATATGGATAGATAGAGGTAGAACATTTTTGTAGTTGGTGTTTGTGTAAATAGACATTACAAGTAAAATAGTAGGGATTTTATTGTATAAATAACATATATCAGACAGCATTTGCCAGTTTGCATTTTAAAAATATACAAATCGGTGACACTAATTCCATTAATCATGTTGTACAGCCATCTCTGATATCCATGGCCAAGTTTTCTATCAGCATAAATAGTTGCATGATACTTACTAAATAATTATTTTCTTTTCCCCACTTCCTTCTACCCTTTGTAACGTCTGATATAATTTGGCCTCTATACATTTTCCTATTGTATATATTTCATTTAAATGGGATAATATAATAATTGTCCTTTTGTGAATGACATACTTCACTCAGCATAATGTTTCAGGTTCATCTTTGTTATAGCATGTATCAGTATTTTATTTCTTTATGACTGAATAATAGTTCATTGCATGCATGAACCATGCTTTGTTTATTCACTTTGTAGATGGACATTTGGATTATTTCTGTCTTTTAGATTTATGTGAATTGATTGGCTATTTTTTAATTGTCTACTTTGTATAATGCTGTAGTGAACCCAAAGCCCAAACTACTCTCTGGTGAGTAGATTCTGACTCATAGTGACTCCATAGGAGAGAGTAGAAATGCCCCATAGGATTTCTAACACTGTACATTTTTTACAGAAGCACACTGACACATTTTTCACTCATAGAGTAGCTGGTGGATTTGAACCCCTGACCTGCATAGCAGCCGAGTATTTAGAACCATTGCATACCAGTGCTTCTGCTGCAGTGAATATTAGTGTTCACATAATAGGATTCTTATGAATGACTTCAGAAAGAAGCATTTGAGGTGAGATTTAAAAGGCAAGGAGAAAGGCATTTTGACCATGTTGTATATGTGTTATGTAGCTGTGTTGTAAACTTTCAATACTGATTAAATATACAGAAACCTCTGGTTAGTGCCATTGTTTGAGTAGTGACTGGGAGGCCATTTAACAAATAATGAAGTTGTTGAGAAGTGTGTGGCTGGAAGTATATAAAATAATAAAAAAGAAAAAAACCCTGCTACCATTGAGTCAGTGCTGACTCATAGTCAACCCCCTGTGGGTTTCGAAGACTGTAACTGTTTACAGGAGTAGAAAGCCCAGTCTTTCTCCTGCAGAGCTCCTGGTGGTTTCAAACTGCTGACCATGCAGATTTCAGCCCAATGTGCAGCCCAACGACACCACCAAAACTCCTTAGTAAGAGAAAATGTTGGAATAGGTACCTCAAGATTATATACAAGATATTAGGTACCTAGGATTGCATTCGAGACATTTCTCCATCTCTCTTAAAGGTGGAAGCACAGAAGGATAAAGATGGGCTACCTATGTTCAAAATTTTTACATCTTTTATAACAACCACTAATAAACTTTTAAATTTAATGGCATGAATAATGGTGATTTTATCTTCATTTGTGTGTCCAGTAGTTTTCTCCCATCCACTATCTAATTTCACCCAAACCATATCTGAATGACAACTCTGAAAATATAATATCTTGAATTTTAAAGATATGGAAATCAAGGTATGGTTTTTAATTAGTCATATGGCCATGTTTAGGGTGATGCCAGATATCCTGATTTCTAATTCTATATTTTAGTTTGATTTTATATGTCTGCCTTTTGGGGCCCTGGTGACACAGTGGGTTAAGCATTTGGTGTTGCTGCTGCAAGGTCAGTAGTTCATATCCATCATTTGCTACTGGGGGAAAAATGAAGCTATATACCCCATAAAGGTTTACAGTCTCCTAAATCCTGTGAAGCAGTTATACTCTGTTCTATTGGGCTGCTATGAGTTGGCGTTGACTCAGTATATACTTTCTGTCTTTCCCCCCCTGAAATGATTGTCTTTATTGTCTCCTTAGGACTTAGCTTTTACCCTGGAAGAGAGACAGCAATTGAACATTCATGGATTGTTGCCACCTTGCTTCATCGATCAGGAGATCCAGGTCCTTCGAGTAATGAAAAACTTTGACCGTCTGAGTTCTGATTTTGACAGGTAATACGTTCCTAAGTGTGATATTTATATTTCTCTTAACAAATGTCTAGTTTATTGAATGGGAAATTTGGAATATTGTACAAGAGAGCTTCAAAAAATTTGTGAAAAAATGGAATAAAAAGATTTTTCCATAAAGCGTTTGAAGTCCTCCCATATTTAATGACTATTAAAAGAGTTGTCAACTTTAAGAAAAATTAACCTGTAAACAAAATGGTTTCAAATATTTGTCCTCAAGGAACATTTTAATGAAATAGAATTTTCTTTTGAAACGCTGTATCCTCCAAAACTTCACCTGTCTCCTATGATAAAATTCTTGATATAAAAGTAAATTATTAAGAAATTTCACTATAGATCAAGCAAAACAGGTTAAAATGTCAAGATTTCAATACATTGCAGATGAAAGAACATTTTAAAAAATTCCTACCTTAGTAACTTTGTTTAGAATTAAGTTTCCAGGTCTGTTTATAGGTGAAGGTAACATTTTATGTACCTTTATGTAAGGATAAGTCCAAATGAATTCAGTTCTAAATCAATCTATTATTTTTAATTTTGTTTCACTTTTATTCTGACACGAGGTGCACATGTAGCACTTCTTCCTTAAGTTCCGACCACCTGGAGCCAGGTCACAGCACCCAAGTTAAAGGCACAGGCCTCTAGATAGCCAAGTCTGACCAAAACCTCAATTGGCAGCCACAAACGTGGAGTGCCTGGTGCTCTCCCCACTTCTGTCCTGCTGGTTAAAAATTCAGGGGTTCCTTCAACTCCCTCAAAATACCAGATGAAAGTGCTAGAGTATACAACCCTGACCCATGTATTTCCTGGTTTGAAACCATGCAGTATTCCCTTGTTCTGTTTGCACAACTGCCTCTTGATCCATGTACCAGTTTTGCAGGGGCACAATGAAGTGTTCTGGAATTCCCACTCCTCAAAGTTACCAATAGTTTGTTATGCTCCACACAGTCGAATGCCTTGACATAGTCAATAGAACACAAATAAATATCTTTCTGATACTATCTGCTTTGAGCCAAAATGTATCTGACATCAGCAATGACATCCCTTGTTCTATGCCCTCTTCTGAATCTAGCCTGAACCTATGTCAATGTACTGCTGCAACCTTTGTTGGATGATCTTCAGCAAAATTTTACTTGCATGTGATATCTTTGATACTGTTTAATAATTTGAGTTAAATCACCATAATTATTCAATCTGAATACTGAGCAAAGCGTCAGAGAAGTTGGATTATATGTAGACGAATTCCATATCAGGATTGGAGGAAAACTTAACAGCCTGTGATATGCAGATGACACAACTTTGCCTGCTATAAGGGAGGAGGACTTCTAGCATTTGTTGATGAAGATCAAGGATTGCAGCCTTTAGTATGGATTACGACTCAATATCAAGAAGACCAAGATACTCATAATTGGACCAATAGGTAACAAACATCATGGTGAATGGAGAAAAGATTGAAGTTGTCAAAGATTTTGTCATGCTTGGATCCACAGTCAATGCTCATGGAAGTAGCAGTCAAGAGATTAAAAAACATGTTGCAATAGGTAAATCATCTGCACAAGCCTTGTTTAGAATATTGAAAAGCAAAGATGTTACTTTGAGGACTTATTGAAGCCTTGGCATTTTAATCGCCTCATGTGTTTGAAAGCTAGACATTGAATAAGGGAGACCGAGGAAGATTCAATGCAGTTGAATTCTGGTGCTGGAGAAGACCACTGAAAGTACCATCAACTCTTAAGTGGATAAACCAGTCTGTCTTGGAAACAGTACAGCCAAAGTGTCCCTTAAAGGCAAGAAAGGCAAGACTTTGTTTTACATTCTTTGGATATGTTGTCAGAAGAGGTCAGCCCTTGGAGAAGGACATCATGCCTGGCAAAGTAGAGTTGCAGTGAAAACCAAGAAGGCTCTCAAGGACACAGTGGCTACAATAATAGACTCAAGCATAGGAACAATTGTGAGGATGAAGCAGGGTTGGGCAGTGTTGTACATAAGGTTGGAACTGTCTCTATGGCAGCTTACAACAACAATAAAGTTATGGAATTCCCAAACCTGACCTGCTGTGTCCTATGATTTAATAGTGCTTTAGAACAACTCATAGAACCTGGTTTGACCCCCAGGTTGATAATTTACATTTCCACCCCAGTTATCAGAATATTCATTTTATAAGATCACTGGATCTGGGCAATCTATAAAAATTACCTGATGGTCTTATTAAAATACAGATTCTGATTTAATATTATCTGGGATGACATTGCAGATTCTCAGTAGGGTGTCAGTCAGGAATGAACTGGTTAGAAGCCCTACACTAAACTCATGGAAAGCACTATTGCTTAATGATAAATGATTCAAAAGTCAGGATTAGCCCAAAGAAGAGAGGCATAGGATGGGTTCTGCAAAAGTTTCCAATACTGAGCTTCCATGTCTCAATAATATTACATTTTAAGGGGTGACTACAAACTCCTTCAGGAAACATTCCTTGGTTGTCAAAGTAGCAAGAACTTATTGAGGAAAAAAATATATAATTATGAGGTTTCTAAAGTAAATGTTCTAAGAAAAAGAGAAGTGTCTTTTCCTTCATGCATCAGGGAAAATTGTATATTCTTATATATGTATATATATATATTTCTGTTTTCATTTGCATTTACCATTGTATCATTCAGCATAAAAATTAAAGGATGAAATACTCCTATAAATTTAGCAATGCTGAAACTGTATCTATAGTGTTACCTTCATTGTCTTTTTTTTAATAAAAAAGGATAAAGTCTTCTCAAGTATTACGACAGCTATTTTAGCAATGATTTTAACTTTCGAGTGTCACTGCCTCAATTTATGATTATTCATTCTTTGCGATGTTTAATATACTTCTAAAGTTTCTTTCTTTTTTATCAGATGCATTCTATGCAGCCTAAAGTATGTTCTACTTGTTTGAAAATGATTAATTAGATTTTCAAGCAGCTATTTCACGACTTTGTTGGATTATAGGTCTAATTATATCCAATTTTCACAGATATCTTCTCTTAATGGATCTTCAAGATAGAAACGAAAAGCTCTTTTACAAAGTGCTGATGTCCGACATTGAGAAGTTCATGCCAATTGTTTACACTCCAACTGTTGGTCTGGCTTGCCAACAATATAGTTTAGCGTTTCGGAAACCAAGGTATGCAAACTTTTATTTTAAATAAAACTTAATGTTAAAATAATGTTCTAAAATTGCTGGTGCTGATGATTGTACAACTTTTATTAATATACTTGAACTATTGAATTGTTTGGTTTGTGAATTATATGCCAATACAACTGTTTAAAAGTAATAATCTGTGATTGGACTACTCAAAGTTATGGTATGTGGTTTATATGCCAGTAAGTCTATTGGGGAAAAAAATAACAGCAATAATCTGCCATTTAAGATCAAAGGGGCAGAATTTACCCAAGGGCAAAGTTCAGAAGGTTAAGAATTACGGAGGAATAGACATAGGAAATATAGGGAGGAAATGGGATAAGTACATGTTAGGAATTGCAATGGATGACCCCAAATGAAATGTATATGTATGCTTGAATGTAAAACTTGATCTGCTCTGTAAACCATCATCATCTAATTTATAATAAAAAGAATTATTAAAAATATTATATTTTACTAAGATTTTTGTACTAATTGAAGACAAATTGCCAAATGAAATTTAAGGTTGGAACAATCAAACTAATTCAAACTAATACGAAATATTAAATTTAAATAGAGTATTTTCTCTGTAGACTTAAGGAAACTAATTCTAAGCCAAGGTATTTTTGTCTTTGTGAACAATGAACTTATTATTTACATGGAAAGAAAAGAAAGCAATATAATATAATGAAATCCACTGAAATGTTGTTACCATTATTATGTATACATTTTAAAAGTATGTATACGATCTGTATGAAGGTAATAAGTGTTATGGAGAAAGATAAATAGGAAAGGAGAACCGGGCATGCCAGCAACTTTGGAGAAGAAGAGAGTGCAGGAGTGAGGAAGGTGCCATATAGAGAGGAGGGGAAACTTGCCGGGAAGAAGGAATAGCTAGTGCTAAGACCCTCGGTGAGAGTGTACGCAGTGTTCAAGGGTCAGTGAGGTCAGTGTGGCTGCAGTAGAGTGAGAGCGGAGAAGAGTGGTGGATGAGGTTGCAAAGGTAAAGCAAATGGGAATGTGCAGATCCCCTCCTTTCCTAGAGACTATTATAAAGAACTTTTGACTTTTACTGTTAAATGGAAATTTCTTAATGGTTTTAAGCAATGGCATGGCATGATCTGACTAGTTAGTATGTTTTGTTCAAAGAGCACTCTGGTGACTGTATTAAAAATAAAGTGTAAATAAGCAAAAGAAGAATCGGGGAGCAGAGTTAGGGATGAGAGATGATGGTGCCTCAGATGATGAAGGGGAGCAGTGGAATTAGAGAAAGGAGGCAGACTAGATGCAGTTAGAGGAAGTTACAAAGATTTCCTGTTGAACTGCGGGCTGCCTAGAGTAGTATTTAAAAGTATGGACTCTGGCATCGATTCCACTTACTGGACTAACCTTTCTGTACATCAGTTTTCTCCTCTGCAAACAGGAATAATAGGACAGCCTATCATCTTTTTAAAAACAAAAAAACAAAAACCAAACTAGCCCCCAAACCTTAAAAAGCAAAAGAGTTATATAATCTCATTGGAGACTAAACCTGACCTAACCTGAACCCATTAGGTGGTGAAAACAGAACTGAATTTATTGAAGAATTTTGATTATGCCTGACTGTTATTTATTTATTTTAATTAAAAGATCTTTTTATTGGAGGCTCTTACAACTCTTATTATAACAACCCATACATCAATTGTATCAAGCATATTTGTACATATGTTGTCATCCTTCTTTTTTCTTTTTAAAAATCATTTTATTGGGGGTTTGTACAACTCATCACAAGCCAAACATCCAACCATTGTGTCAAGCACATTTGTACATTTGCTTCCGTCATCATTCTCAAAGCATTTTATTTCTTCTTGAGCTCTTGGTATCAGCTCCTCATTTTTCCCCTCCTTCCCTGCACCCCCTCCCTCATGAACCCTTGATAATTTCTAAATTATTATTATATTGTCATATCTTACATTGTCTGATTTTTCCCTTTATTCACTTTTATGTTGTCTGTCCCCCAGGGAGGAGGTTATATGTAGATCCTTGTGATTTGTTACCCCTTTCTACCCCACCTTCCTTCTACCCTCCCGGTATCACCACTCTCACCACTGGTCTTGAGGGGTTCATCTGTCCTGGATTCCCTGTGTTTCCAGTTCCTCTCTGTACCAGTGTACATCCTCTGGCTTAGCCGGTTTTGTAAGGTAGAATTGAGATCATGGTAGTGTGGGAGGGGAGGAAGAATTTAAGAACTAGAGGAAAGTTGTATGTTTCATCATTGCTACCCTGCACCCCGAGTGGCTCGTCTCCTGCCCACGACCCTTCTGCAAGGGGATGTCCAGTTGCCTACAGATGGGCGTTGGGTGTCTACTCCGCACTCCCCTTCATTCACTATATGATTTCTTGTTCTTTGATGCCTGATACCTGATCCCATTGACACCTCATGCTCACACAGACTGTTGTGCTTCCATGTGGGCTTTGTTGCTTCTCAGCTAGATGGTCGCTTGTTTATCTTCAAGCC